AGCCCTAAACTGGAAATAACCCAAATAATCCACAATAAGCAAACAGAAAAACTGTATATCCAGAAAGGGATTACAATTCAACAATAAAAATAAATTATTGAAACATGAAACATGGATAGATCTAAACAATATTATGAACAGAAAAATTCAGGCAAAAGAGTACACAGTTCAATTTCATTTATATAGAATACTAGGAAATATAGTGACAGAAAGCATCTCTTTAGTTGTCTGGTGAACAGTGTAGAGGAGATGGATTATAAAGGGTTTCAAAGAAACTAATGAGAATAATGGAAGTATTTTTATATTGTGTTGGTTACATAAATTCAAAACATGTCAAACCTGTTCAAATTCTAGTCTTCAAATATGTGCATTTCATCGTACTCAGACTTTACCTCACTGAAGTACAAAAACAGGGAGGGGCCAAAGGATTCGATTTATTGGTAAAAGCAATGGGTGGTCCTCTGTTTTGTTTCCAGCCACAAAGTGGACAAAGAAAACCTGCTATCAAACAGTGTGAAACCTTTAGAAATGATGGATAAACTATAATAAACATCCTCTTAAGTATATACCTGGTGCTACCCTTGAAAGCAGGGGAATAGGTTGCTGGTCCCATAAGCCATGGGCCTTGGTCCTGACAGTCAGGCCTCACAAGGTAGGATTTGGGACTGAGGCTTTCCTATATAATGAAAGGTGGAGGGGGTCCAGGATGAAAATGAAGGAGACTGCCTTAGGAAAATTCTCCTCTGAAAACAGAACCGCAGCCTACCCTCACGGATTTAGAATTTGAATTTATCCCTGCAGTCAGGGTACCCCTAAGCAGATAAATTAATTTAAAAAGTAGTCCAGCCTGGAAATATCTCTGAGGCAGTTAGAGGAAAAAGAATACAGCGGCCAGGGATTTAGCTCACTGATTCCGCTGCCTGCCTCACAAGGGCAAGGCCCCCAGTTCAATCCCAAAGAAAAGAATACAAAATTTCTCGTAAGAAACCTGACTGAAAGTGAGTTCACAATACAAAATACATAAAAAAAATTAATATATGTGTAACATTTGGGTAACACTTTGTGGCTATAAGAATTTTGCTAAGCAGGACAAATTTAATTCACCTATGCAATCTGGTGCCTTTTTCCGCATCAAAAAAATGCTTAGGACCACTTTTAAAAGTGGCAATATCTGCAAAACACGTTCATGAAAGATTAAATTTATAAAATAATACATATAAATTGAAGCTTTATTCTAAAGAAAAAGTGCAAACTATAGTTCTATGTTTATATAATAGAGTATGGAAATACATACACCAAACTCACTGAAGAATAGGATTTGGGAAGATTAAGGAAAAGTTTTTTTTTGAGGGGGGTTAACTTGTGCAGTATCTGGGTGTGTTTTTTCTGACAATAAGCATCTGTAATTTTTAAAAACAAAGAAAATACCTCAAAGAAGCCTTTTGTTTATAATAGCAGCTATTTTGTCATTGAAAATAATGAACAAAAACCCCATTTTTCCAAATGCAGCAACGGCTAACAACAGGGAAGTCAAGCAATGGACTAGGATAAAAACAGGGTTCCTTGAAAATCCTGTTTTTCACGCTTTTATTTTAGCATTGTTGCCTACAATGTAATTGCTCATAAGGTGATTTTCAGAAAGTGTCCATTTCCAAGAATAATGCTCACTGAGAACAATGTGGAAATGATTCAAGAACTGACTGCAGGTCACAGCTGCCTTGCACAATAAACTTTATAACCATGCCTCAGAGATTGAATCTCAGCATTACAAATGTTGAGATCATCCTGTCCTATTCCCTAGGCTGAGACTTAATCAGGTAATCAAAGAAATTCTAGTCAGAGAGAAACTACTAGTTTCATATAAAAATATATGAAGAGTAAAACTAGCAACACTACAACATTTGGAAGAGTTATCTGAAATGTCTTACCAAAAAAAAGTTTTGCTGAGATGCGTGGCCTATTAATAAGCCATTAGGAAATTTGCTGCATCCCAAAAATGAAAAAAAGTCTTGCTAGAGATGAGGTATATAAAGTATTGGGAAAAAGCACACTTTCAAGACAGACTAAAGAAACAGATAAAGGATTTTTGCTGCATTAAAATTTAGCACCCGATATCTAGTTTTGTTTTTTGGCTTTTTTATTTTGGTACTGGGGATCAAACTCGGGCCCTTGCACTTGCCAGACAGGTGGCAGAATCAGTGAGCCAAATCTCTGGCTAGTATTTGAAAAATTAGCTGGATATATGTCACAAACATTTGGATTATTTGGATTTCGATGATTTTATAATTTCCCTTTAATAAAATTTATTATCCCAGTGGCCAAATTTTGGGAAGTATCAAGCATCAAAAAGAACAAAGACATATGTTACTGTACAATACCAAATAAATACCCAGGACTGCATCATGACATCAAAAAAAGCAGAAAAATAAGGAAAGCTTTTTTTAGAATGTCAGTGAAAAAAATAAAAGGAGCAATACCTAGAAAAGTATCATTCTGTATCCCCAAAGCAGTAATTGACTCAAACAAGGGTCAACAATGTAAATTAAAGTCATTAAGTGGAATTTGAGGGATAGTACATCTAAAGACACTAAAAAATCTCCCACAAATACAAGCCATTTGCAAAAAGAAAACATAAACATACTTTTAAACTATAGGCATATGTGTATGTGTTCACCAGCTCAATCAAAGGATTACTCTTTAATTCAGTAACAGTGGGGCAACCTGCTATATCTCTCCACATGACACAAAAGCACACAACATCCCTAGTGAAATCTTGCCAGCAACGTTAACCTGAATCCAATCAAGCCTCACACTGCTTACAGGAAATGAAGGGGCTAAAAAAATGTTAAAACACAATATAAGGAAAGAACCAAAGCCAGAGAGAGTGGTCCCTTTCTATAGGGCAACTTTCCAGATTAAAAAAAAAGCCCAGTGCCATTTTCTTGAAAGTGGGAAGAACATTCTATACTACAAAGACTAGAAACCTACAACCTAACGATCTGCAGTGACTAGCACTGACTGAATACCAGTTGCAGGTAGGGGAAGACGGGAAGCTATTTAATAATGCTTCATACTACTGCGCAAAGTTGTACTCATCTGTCACCACAGCTATCCAGGAGGCCAAGGCAAAATTATTAAGTTTGAGGCCAGCCTGGGCAACTAGGGAGACCTATCTCAAAATTTTTTAAGAGCTGGACTATAGCTCAATGGTAGAATGCTTGCCTAGTGTGTGAGAGGCCCTGGATTCAATCAATAATGCTTCAACAAAAATTTCGTGTTACTGGAAAAAGTGAATGTAAGTATTTGGTCTTACGAATTACTAATTTTCTTAGGTGTGATCAGAATATTGTGGTATTTCAGAATCTTCCTGCTCTTACAAAATGCATGCTTAAGCTTTGAGAAATAAAATGTTATACCTGAAATTTAAAATAATTTAAAAGTGTATGGTAGGGAGAAGGGAAGACTGCATCTACCTTTGACCTATGAAATTATATGGTTTATCAGAATATACACAGTTAAAGCAAATAAGGCAAAATGTTAATAACTTGAATCTAGACAGTGGCTATGCAAGTATTTATTGTACCATCATTTCAACTAATCCATATTTTTAAATGTTTTATAAGAAACTGGAGATTCTTCTTAGGCCTTCCTTAAAAGACATCTATAAAGTCTACCATAATTTTAATATAACTTACCATTCCAAATAAGTGGCTTGCTTTGCCGGTCTGGCTTATTCACTATCCATTCCAAGAACACTAAAACTTGGTCTTAGTAATTGCAAATAACATCCTAATGCTGGATCTAATATAAATCTCACAAATAACACCAATAATAGCACAAATTGTAAACATCTGGTTTTATACCCAAATAATAAACTTAACAGCAGTAAAACAAATTGTTTATTACAGCATACAATGTGTTATATTAAATTTACACAATGATACATATATAAAAACACATACTGCTTATATCATACAGTAATTTAACAGGAATATCAAAACAACTACTCATGCACAAAACATGCATATGTTGATATAAAAACAGCAATTTTACACAATATTGTTTACCAAAAAAATTTTTTTAAAAGCCCTTCCAGATAAGGTCAGTGGTCCAATCTGGACTGGACTGTACTATTATTCAGGCCAATGCTCAGGTTGCACAGTGCTCAGTTAGCAATTCTGGGCTTGGCATCATGGCCAAAAGTTATTTCATGTAGAGAGAATTTCTCTGTACCAGAGTAGCAAAATTTTATCCCAAAGGCAAGTTCTCCAAGGAACAAATTATTGTATTTGCTACAAATTAGGGAAGGACAGAAAGGCACCAAACTGCTGGAAAAATGGCCCAAGAAAAGGTTATACTCTAAACCAGCGCCTAGGCATCCAGCGTGGCAAAAGGTTTTGTGAATCCTTTGAAGATAATACCAGTGCCTCTACCCAGATTCTATCTCTGGATTTAGGATCTGGTCTACAAGTTATGAGTCCAGTAAACAGAACAGTTCTGAGAAGAAAGCAGATTTGAGGAAGATACGAGAAATGTAAACTACAGCATACAAAGGCATAGAAAACAATGACTGCCTCTCGTACCTATTTCACACAACTGTACGTAATGCCCCTCAACCGGAAAGCCCTTGCAGACACTGCCCTGAAGAACCAAGAACAGATGTCATGTCCTAAAAGTTCCGTCCACCTGACCTTGAAACAATGTCTCATTCCATTAAAACTTAAAAGATCAAAACCTGTACCCTACCAGATGCTCCGAAAATGTGAAATAAAAATCAGCTGACAGCACAAAATTCATTCACTAACACCACCACAATCTCAATATTTACTCCTAACTAGCAAAACCACCTTTACCTTCCATTAAAGGCACTAGTGTCTATCCATAGAAACATAATTTACCTTGGTTTTACCTTAACAGCATTTCGTTAAAGAGTTACACAAAAACTGACTTTTTCCCGAAACTAAGGCGAAAGACACTTGGCGCACCAAAGATACTCATACCGTCGTCATCAGTTTCAAAGAGCCAGACCGAAAGCGGAGGATTTTCTTCTTGAGGGTATGAGAAGCCTTAATTTTAACAAAGGTTTTTGTAGGGTTCGGAGTCGCAACCGTCTGAATTGGGAGAGTCTGGACAAACTGGGACCAAATCAAGGCCCCACTCTCTTCCGAATCGCTGGTCGTGGTGCTCTCGCCCACGAACTCACCCTCGCTCACACTGGACTCACTGTCACCGAAGCAGTTAGTGGTGTAGTTGCTTTGTTCGTCCTCACTGGTGTCCACCACCGTGGAGTGGAAAAGGGACTCACACTCAGCCGAGTACTCAGAGTCACTGGCTACGTAGGCATAGGGACTGGCATAGGGCAGAGGCACAGGTACAGGGTACACACCCCCGTGCTCCCGGCGAGCCCTACGGGTCCTCAGGGCCTCTTCGTACGAGATCTCGGCTGAGGACTTCCAGCGCCGCCGGTAATCGGTTCGTTTGTGCTTAGGTTTGGCCACCACCGCCTCCCGTCCATGGCCGTGCGCCTTATTTCCGGCCCTATGGCCACTGGTGCCCAAGGGCCTGCTGGGAAGCCCCTCGGCCCCGCCCCCACCCCTGCGGCCCTTGCCAGAGGCTCTCTTGAGCTTTTTATTTGTATCCAAGTCTTCCGGAAAACGACACTTCTTGCCAGCCACCCGGGTTTTCTCCCGGACCGAGGGCAAGCCACTCTCCAGCCCCTGAAGGGCCTGGCCACGGTGCCTCAGAGTGGAGCTTCTGGAGCCGCCCGCGTTCCTGTGGCCGCGGTGAAGCCTGACGCCCGGCTGCTGGGCCGGGATGAACTGTGCTTTGACCAGGGGCCCTTCCTCCAGGCTTTGAGAAGAGGAGCCCTCGCTTTTGAAGTCCACGGCCGGCCCCTCCTCCACCGCGAAGGCCACAGGCAGCAGCAGGGGAGGCGGGGGAGCTGGGGTGGGCTGCAGACTGCTCTTCTGAGCCATCCTTTTCAGGGGCTGCACAGCTCTGTGCTCTTTCGGGGACCCGGGGGCCCGGCCTGGGCTCTCTCTCGGAGAGGCGGCTGTCTGCTCACTTTCCTTAAGGGGCTCTACCGGCCCTGCGGCAGCAGGACCCCGAGCCTGTTCCTGGGAGGCTGCCTTGGCATTTTTGGGCAGATGCTTGCTTGGCAGCTCCAAGGCGGCCCCTGCTAAGCAGCCCTCGGGAACTAGCAGCCTCTTGCCTTCCAGTTCTGCTTTTAATTCCTTTGCCCGCTGCTTCAGCGGGGAGAAGGTCCCGCTGTCCAGGGAGGGCATTCCGCCAGAGGGCAAACACACCAGCCTGGAATTCTTCAGGTTCATGCTGCTGACCTGGGAGCCGGCAGCCCTGACACACACGCTCCCATTCCTCAGAAGCCCTTTCGTGGGGTCCGCGTTCACACTGGTCCTGGGTTTGTTGGTCCGTACGGGATGCGGTTTTTTCTGGACCAGGTTCAAGATGTAGCCATCCATTCTCTTACTGGATGAAGGTTGGGAGGCTGGCCACAGACTGCCCGGGGATGGTAAGGAATCGTCTGTCTTGGTGGCGCCGAGTTCTGATCCCACACAAATGTCACTGGCATGATTCTCAAGCCGTTCCTCTTCCCTCAGAGGGGAGCCCGCCAGACAAAGGAGAAACATTGGGCTCTGCACAGCCACAGCATGCAGTGGACTGGGATAACGGTAGACATCATTCCCATTTTTAGACACCAGATCACACTGGTACTTGGGATTCACATCTGCAATGACATCAAGGGAATTAAATTGTAGCGTCCAAGGGAAAAAGCAGATTGCCCCTGAGGCCTGTTCTTCACAGCAGCCTTTTTCATATACCAACCATCCTATGAGATCCGTAAAACATGCAGAGGTACACTTTGAAGAAATGAGTTAACAGCAGCAGTTTGACTCGTTGGCCAAGTTTTATTAAAATAAATGCATGGTTAGAGAATGCCAAAAGGAAAACAAGTCATCCTCTACTCTCCCCTCTACATTCTATTCCTAGTTTCCTTCCAAAATACTTTGGATAAATTACACATTCTGTGAGCTTCACTTTTGATCCTGATTCCTAAGGACACATTCAAATATAACTTGTCAATTAAAGCTCATTAGAGAAACATTAAATTTTAGTAAGACTAATAAAGTTTAAATAATTGATTACACTAAAAAAATTTTAATATGAAGAATTCTTAAATTTTTAGTAGTATTATTAATGGATAAATTTAACATGTCACAAAAATGTAAATGCCAGAATAAGATGAAGCTTTCTTAAATGATTTTGATCTTTCATCTTAGTGATATTGTAAATATCCATTCCTCTTAATGACTTTAACACAGGAAATAAAAATTGAGTTCATCACTGATTTATCCTCCAAAACTGTTTATTCATTGAAAAATTGAGAACCCTCTCTGTGCCAGGTTTTATGTTAACTGTTTAAGGGAAAGCTGTCTGAACTTCAGTAACTGTCAGCCTTGGGCAAAAATACTCTGGACCCAAAGAAGATGATTTTTAAAGAGAAAACTAATAAAATGAAAATGCCACATCTCCACCTGTACAACCAACAAACAGCTTGTTCTAAGACAAGGAAACCTCTCTAACAATTTTTTTTTTCCTATCCCTACTCCTCAACCTCTTAAGTCCTGTCTTTACCTTACCTAAAGCCACTTTTATTTACACTTCACCATTCATTTATCCCCTTTCCTTATTTAGAGTTGAACAAAGCAGGCCAGATTCCAAGGCCTGGCTCAGCCCAGCCATCTCAATTATGCGAAGATGTGGCATTTGGGAGAACGAGGGTGTATCTTTAAAGAAAACCTGTACCAAAGTGCTTTTTAATGGGTTTATAAAATTTCCCTTTGAAACCAGATCTGCAGAGTACAGGGGTACAATTACCAATGAACTTGAGGCCCAGTCACTGGATAGCAAAGTTCTACTTCCCCCAAGGATCGCTGCCGACAACACACGCTGTACAGATACAGACACCAACCAGCAACCTCAGCTGCTCAGTGTTATGTTGGCTTTGCCTGGATCAAAACTTTCAGCCTCAGTGTCAGGGATTTAGCTCAGCAGTTCTGCCGCCTGCCTTGCAAGCACAAGGACCCGAGTTCCATCCCCAGTACCAAAAAAAAAAAAAAATTTTTTTCAGCCTTGTACCCAGGTGAAAATACAGGCAAACCTGGGATAGGCTGACTTGTGCCAGCACCTACAATACCTCTATTCTTATTTTCTCTGCTCTTCCAAGGAATCACACTACAACAGAACTAACAAGGAGCCCTGAGTTCCAGGAGTAACTGCCATTTAGCCGATGAGCTTCTAACAAAGGTTTGTAAGCCAAAATTCCTCCTCTATTAGATGAAACAGTTGAATACAATTTCTCAATTTCCTTGTGGTGAAAGAAAAACAAGGATCTTGCAGTTACACCTCAGGCATTTGAATCCTCTCCTCTACTACTTTCTAGCTACATAGCCCTAAATGATCTTACTTAGCTTCATTTTTTGGACATATAAAATAGAGCCAACTCCTGCACCCTACAGACCTACTGGGAAAACTCGAAGGAGATAAATGTCTAGAGTACCCAGTATGGAATGACACATAGTAGAGGTGCAGAAACTCTTCCACTAACAATAGCATTATTCTCCCTGGAGCTCATTGCTCAAAGTGGAGAATCATGACACAGGGACTAGAAGGATCCCATCATGTGAGTATTCTGGGAAATGTGGAAGGGCCACTGATGGACCTATTTAATTAATGGGCATTGCAGCCTTAAGCGGAAAATAATTCCAGAATAGTTTTCAAAAGAAAATCAAGACAGATGTTACTTAGGAGAGGGGCTTGTAGCTCAACAGTACAACGTGTTCTTAGTATGCTAATTAGTATAAGACCATATATTCAATCCCCAGCACCAAAACGAAAATGCAGACAAGTTAAACAGCAAGGCTCATAAACAGAGCTCAAGACTTGTAATTATTGGGATGGTATTTCTAAGGTTAAATTGTCTTGCTGCTATCAGAACATAAAGCCAAATGGTACCCAAGGACCCTAGTGTAATTCTTGATATTCACTTAGATCAAAGTGGGGGGTTCTAGATGTAACCACAGCACCAACTACAGCTCTGATGAACTTTATTTTCCATCAGAAAAAGGGGTTGAAACTGGGTGACTAAGGGCCCTTGCCCCATCCCAATTAACATTTCTGTCAATACTAAAAATTCTTACCTGCAGATTTGGGGCAACCATCTGAGATGGTCAAGGTTGCCTCCAGGGGGCTGCAAAAGCAGGTGCTAGAATGACAACTGGATAAGCACTCACTGAACACGGAGTTAGAGGAATTGGAGAGGGATCCTGAAGCCCCATCACTCAGTTCGTAAAACCCTACAAATAAAGACAGCGGGAATTAAGATCACATCAAAGAATAACACACATTCACGCTTGACAGGAAAACGGGTGAACTATCTGGGTAGGTGATTTTGTTTGGGAGCAAGCTATGTTTCACTGAATGTTAGAGTCCTGACTATACGGCTTTACTTCAAAAATATTTTATGAAAAGGCAAAGAGCAGCTAACTATGAGTAACTTCAGTTACTTTCACCTTTACACTGACCCTCCCTGCTTTAAGTTCTGTGTTAAGAAAGGAACTTAGACCTGAAAGAGCCTCGTCTTTATTATGAATATTTTGGAGGGAATAACTTTAAGAGAAAAACAAATCTAAGGATCCAAATGGTTTTTTTAAAAAAAAAAACACTTTTGAAGTGGTCTCAGGAAGTTGAAGTGTGACTAATTTTCTAGCCCAATTCGGCCTTTCTCAAGTTTCAAAGGAGGACTGCTCTTCAAGAAATCGCAATAGAAACTTGTGTTTTTTTTTTTTTTTAACTCAGGAGACTCCAGTCAGATCAATCTTATTATTAAAAATTTTGTTGTCTGACTTTATTTCATGCAAATGAAGAGGAAACTGCTTTTTAAAATTCTCTCTGCATTACAAACAAAGCTCTTCGCCATTTGCAGGTCTGGAGCCACGCTGGAGTACAGAATCTGGTCCACCTCACTCACCTGAGCTAGGCCGGCTATCCGTCTCCAGGTGCTCTTCAGATGTCTTTTCTACATCCAGTCTCAGGTCACTGATCTGCTTGTCAAGTTCTTGCAACTGATTCAACAAACCAGCATCTCTTCTCCTCAAACAATTCTGATTAAGAATAAACAGGGAGGGCCAGGGATTTAGCTCAGTGATTCTGCAGCATGCCTCACAAATGCAAGGTCCCGAGTTCAATGTCCCAGTACCCCCCCCAAAAAAGACCCAGGGACTGTGAGGACAGTCAATATTTTGGCCCTGGCCCCTCAAGGTCTACATGATTCAGGATTACAAGGAACCCAAGGAACCTTTCCTACAGGACCCTACATCTTCGGTAAGTCACTCAACCTCCTGAGCAGGGAGAGTGCTGAACACCAGAGGACAAATATACTGTGTGCCAAAGGAAGGTCACCACGAGGGAAAAGTCTCCACGCTTTCACTGAAAACAACACGGTCAAGCAAGGCCGTGACCCATCCTGACAGCTGATACTGACAGAGGAACTGAGAGGCTCTCTGCGTGGTTCCAAAATAATGCCTGAGGAGACTTAACTGATGTTAATAGATAGCAAGAGGTTCACATTGACTGACACAGGACTCACTTTAACTTGGCCTTAAACACCCAGCAGAAAAGAACAACCAACAGAGGTATAAAATAATGCCGTAATAATAAAGCTAGATATAACAAGGGTCTCCAGTCACTGACACCTTCTGACAGTTTCCAGCTCTACCAGTAGCTAACCAAGGTTATGGATCATTAGAAAAAACTATGGTAAAATCTCTAAAAGCTCAGCTAGAGTTTTATATTTCTTAGTAAAATCTGTTCTTCAAATTGTCTCTTATCTTACAGCTACAACTAGAGAGACTTCTAAGACCAGCAGGTTCAATCACTACTTCAATTTCTAAGTGTGACTTTCTCCCCAACCTGCCCTTTCATTCTACTGTGCTCACGCTAAGACTACGCATACTCTTAATTTCTTAAAAGTTTTGTTTACTCTTGCCTAGAGGCCGCCAAACTCCAAGTGGTCATACAAATGGAACCAATGACAAATGTGCTAGACTTCTTTTACTGGGATCCGTCAGATCGACCTTGTAAACAGCTCATAACTGCTAAACTATACTACTTCTATGTTGGATTCTGAGGCCCCCTGGACCTTCTCCTTATCCTCTTTGTGGGCTATATTCACAGCAATCCTACTGATCTTATAATTTGGCCCTTGCATTCTTAACTGTTTCTTTGGTTTGTCTCCTCCAGATTTAAAAGCTATGCAGCTACCAAGATGACAATGCCAGGCACCTATGGAAGGCCTTTAGATAAACCCTCTGTAGAGTAACTAACTGCTGATCACAACTATGACCCTCTTCAGCTGGAAGTAGCCAGAGCTGTCTTCGCCCTTTGCTCCCTCACAGCACTTAGGGGTACTTCTTCAGAGGGGGAAATATTGCAGATAGATAAGTTAATTAGATATCTTGTAGCAGTTAGACAGGGCCACCCCAAGGAGCCAACACAGCAAGGAGGCAACATGGAGGACAATCAAGACACACTCTCTGAAGGCCAGAATTGTAAAAGGAGAGAAAGTATTATACCTTTGTGCTTTCCCCTGGGGATAAATAGCACTGATTGATATTCTAAATAGGTTTCAATCACCTAGGTGGGGAACCAAGGTCTTAACCCAGCCTTTCCAGGAAATATCCCTGACCCCCACCCTTACTGAAAATCCTCCTATGCTTGCCATGTGACTTGCTCCCTCATTTGATATGACCTGGGTGATGGCACTTATAATCTTATTGATTGGTCATAGTCTTGCCCCACCTCATGCCCACCTTGTGATTTCCCACTGGGTCTTAGAGTTTAGTCCCACTTTGTACCCGCCTCCCACATGGCTTTGCTGTACAAAACATCTTTGAAAATTAGGGTGTGTGGGCAACCCACTTTCTGGTCCCCCTTCTGTCTGTCTTAGACAGAAGCTTTCTTTCCCTCATATTTTACCTACTCTAAGGAAAAAAACAGGGAAAGGAAAACTGAATGCACTCTAGTGGCAATCACCACAATGTCTGTTTTAAATATTCCAATTATCCATCTCAAAGATTCACTAACCCTTCCCGAACTAAAATTTTACTGCATAACCTGAAGTAAAGAAAAACTTCAAGGGGCTGGGGATTTAGCTCAGCAGTTCGATGCAAGGGCAAAGACCCGAGTTCAACCCCAGGTACCCCCCCCCAAAAAAAAAGGAAAGAAAAACCAAGAATTTTAAGATATGGCCTATTTTAGTTCTACTTTCTCACTTTTGATAGTTTCTTCATTAAAAAAACTTTTCAGTTTTAATTAATATTACAAATGTGACTTTTTATAGATCACAGCAAGAAAACGGCAGAGATGAAATCACCTGGTGCACAGCCAGCTTTAAAAAAATATGCTTCACAGTAGGCTTTCAAATTTGATGTCAGAGTAACAGATTTCCAACAGTACACTATCTTACTTAGGTGAGGTTTTCTGGCCAAATGTCTTGGCCTGCAGAGTTTTGTTTTCCTTTAGTTGCTTTGTGGGGTTTAATCAGTCTTAGGGCCTTTGAAAGTGAGAAACTAACGCTAATAGCTAGAGCCAAGCACTATGTGAGCTGGCAGAACCCAAAACCCTCCAGGGAAAGCCCATCGCGCTATGAAGATTTGAACTCAGCTCGAGTTTCCAAAGGTGATGGACTGCTGCTTGCGCTAAGTCACAGCGCCACCTAGTGCTGCCTACCGCTGCAAAGGCAAAAGAACTCAAGGCATCTGGTTCAAATCACTAACGCCAAGTCTACAAATGAAAATAGTGCCATAAACACCGACTGGACTGGAATTCTCCTGACCCAATGCTTTGCTCCCCTCAAAAGGACAAGAGGACTGCCTCACAATCTTAAGAGTCACAATCACAAAAAAGCTGCTACTGTACAAGACAGGGTAAGAAATGTGTATGTCCAGGCAAAACCAGAGAACTGGCTCAAATCCATGTCATTTACAAATCTGGTCCGTCCCAAAAAAACACAGTAAAAGCCAACATAGACCTATTGAACAAACCACATCTTACAAAACAGATGCATTTGAGTATCTACTCCTCCTTTGATTTAAAAAGCTGACATAAACCACATGCTTGTTTGCTAAAATCCTGAATTTCTTCACAAAAAGAATCAAACAAGAAAAAGCACTTTGATGCACAAAAATATTAATCATCTGGAAAGAAGTAACCCAAGAAAATACTTGACAACCACAGAGCATTTCCACTTTATTCTAAGGGGGCCATCATCGTATTGTGCGTCTAGTTTCAAGAGAGAATCACACAGTCAGATAAGGATTTTTCTGCTGTTCCCAAAACTACATTTTGAGGTCCCTGGAAGTAAAGCCGCCGCCAGTATTCCAAGGGGTGGGGGTGTCAAGCGCTGCTCTCGGTACATCAAGAGCTAGGGTCCTTCTGCTTCCCCGGTAAGGAAGTCTGCACCTAAGGGCCGAGTTGCGGGCAGAACCCCCGCGGGACCGGCGCTGCAGCAAGCAGGGCCTCTTCTCCGCGTCCTGGGCCCGGCAGAGCCCGCAGAACCTACGAGGTGGGCCCGCGGCCGCTCTTCA